AGGATTCAATGTTGTAGACTATCTTGCTTTCAGATTAGAGATGCAGCAGTCATCAATGCCAATATCGTAGGCTGTTTTGTTTTCCGAAAAGAGATGCAACAAGCATCAAAACACGCCTCCCAGGCAAAAGTTGCGTGTTTCAAGAAGTTCTTCTTCAGGCAAATTATCTTTCCTGGAACCAAAGCTCACAATGCAACAATGCACAAGTCAAACAACTCTGTAGAAGGCTTCTCCGGTTCTCCATTATTTAATTCTTGGGGCAGCCATTTGCTTGAAGTGTGTGGTTTAGAACTAAATCATCTAAACCACAAACTTCAAGCAAATGGCTACTCCAAGAATGAAATCAGAAGGGCGATTAAACCAAAGGTAAAACAAACAACTGAGGAAAAACAGTCTCCCACAGGAAAAGTGTTTTTGTCATATATCAAAGGAATCACTGATCAAATGAAAAAACTTATGAAAAAACACAACCTGCAAATAGTATTCAGACCCACCAGAAAAATACAACAGATGCTACGACTGGCAAAAGACAGGAAAACTACTCACTTCTGCAGGAATATACTGCATACCCTGCAGTTGTGGACAGGTTTACATTGGGACCACACAATGTAGCATTGTGACAAGAATAAAAGAACATGAAAGACACTGAAGACTTGGCCTACCTGAAAAATCAGCAGTGGCTGAACATTTATTGTTGTTGTTCAGTCGCACAGTCGATTCCGACTCTTCGAGACCCCATGGACCACATCACACCAGACCCTCCTGTCTTCCATCATGCTCTGGAGTTTGCTTAACTTCATGTTCATTGCATCGATAACATTATCTAACCATCGCATCCTTGTCGTCCCTTTCTTCTTTGACCTTCAATCTTTCCCAGCATCAGGGTCTTCTCCAGTGAGTGCTCCTTTCTCATTTGGTGGCCAAAGTATTTGAGCTTCAGCATCTGGCATTCTATTCTTCGGCGCTCGGCCTTCCTTATGGTCCAACTCTCACAGCCATACATTTCTACTGGGAATACCATTGCTTTGACCATACGGACTTTTGTTGGAAGGGTGATGTCTCCACTTTATTATGCTGTCTAGGTTTGCCATAGCTTTCCTCCCAAGGAGCAGGCGACTTTTAATTTAATGGCTGCTGTCACTGTCTGCAGTGATCTTGGATCCCAGGAACAGTGAAGTCTGTCACTGCTTCCATGACTTCCCCTTCTATTCCAAGGAGTGTTGGGGCTGGATCAGCCCCGTAGCTAGGGAATTTTTGGAAGGGGGCCTCAGGTGGGGCGCCAGCTAATTAAATCAAAGCACAATGCAGACGGCAAGTTGGGACACTTTGGGGGTGGCCTGGGAAGGAGGGGCCCCAGAAGAAAGACTAGGGGGCCGGGCCCCGTGGGCCCCACGATGGCTACGGGCCAGGGCTGGATGCCATGATCTTAGGTTTTTTTTATGTTGAGTTTCAAGCCAACTTTTGCACTCTCCTCTTTCATCCTGAACAAGAGGCTCTTTAGGTCCTGCATAAGAGCCCTGGACAAGCCTGATCTGGCCCCTGGGCCCTATGTTTGACACCCCTGCTCTAAGCCAAAGGTGGCTACAGTAACTTGTAGTTAAGGTTTCAGTGGATGACCTAGTTTTTCCTGTCTTAAAAATACATATAAATGCAGAGAAAAGAAATAGTCTACTAGGTTTACAATCCTGCTTTGTAATATAATGCAAAGCCGCTGTCTAGCCACGGTTTCTTCCAAATAAATGCATCTGTGATAGGCAAAATTCAGCTGCAGCGCATTATATTCAACCTTTATAAGAATTCTGTGAGACAGTTATTGTGGCAGACATTCTTGACCCAAGTAGAAACACATGATAAAAACCAAAGCATTGCTATCTCAAATGGAACTTTTAACATGACACTCACATTTAAGGCACAGCATCTACTAAAACTATGCAAAACCTTCCATGCATCTGTGTGATTTTTAAAAGCCTCTGTAATTAGAATGTATTTGAATCTTATATGAAATTGATGAGGCTGCTTCCTTGTGTAATAGTCTCAGATTTCCAGGCATCTTTGTCATAAATCACTGTTTACATGTACATATAATAACAGTTTGAGTAGCTTGCCCAAATGTTATAGAAATTGTCAATAACTGGACCTTAGTTTAAAGGCAGGATGTGTCAACATGGAGGAAATGATAATAGGACATTATTCAGTGGGTCTGAGCAATTGATACAAGTTTACTGGGGCCCTCTAGAAAACAACAAGGTAGATTGTCCCCAGTTCTCATACTATTAAATTGTCTAATCCCAGGATAGGCAGAATAGACTTTTTTTGCCCATATTTACCCGATATATATTAATGCTTTTATGTTTGTACTATCCAAGTAATTTTTATGCCTTTGGCTATCTGAACCCATACCAAAAACCTATTGGTTTAGCAGTGTATTTACAGCTGAGGAAAGACTGGGCAAAGAGTGCCACAAGAAAAGAAATTTAAAAGCAGTTCAGAAAGCCAAGGTGATACCGATCAAGTTTTAAAAGAAAAAACTAATGCCAAATAATCAATAACAACCTCACTGAAGCACTAGAAATATTTCTTACTTGATATACTGAGTCCACTTTAAGTTCAAGAGGAGAGAAAGAAAATGTCAATAATCAAAGATTTTTGCTGGTTGATATAAATGGCATTTGGAAAGGACTACAAGCAGAATAGATGGGTAGAACCATCATTTAAATAATCTGAAACTATCAATCATATTTTACAAGATTCTTAAAAGCTAGATACTTGGAAGGTATCTAAGGAAATGTAATTTTGACAAATAAGGCAGCAGTGACAGTTTTCATATTGTCTGGTCTCCAGCCTTCAAGTGTCAGTACTAATCCTTTCCAGCTGCTTGAAGAAAAAACAGCAGCAACATTGAAAAGCCTAACCCAATAATCTCTGAGATAATTCTCCACGATGACAGTGCTAGTCAATGAAGATCTGAGCAGGAAGGTGTAGCCTCACCCACCTGAGGCACACCTCTTGTGGCATTACCATCTGCCTCGTCTAGATGTGTGGAGCTAGACACAGAAATAATTCTTAAGCTTAGGTCTAGAACGGTGATTCCCAAATTTTTGGGCCTCCACAGGAGTGTCAAAAAGGTCGTAAAAGCATCTCACATAGTTGCATTTTGATAGCCAACAAACTTCAATATTAAGCAACAAATGCTCAAAATCTTCATCGTCATTCTCAACGCAGAACTCCCAGAACAGTCGATCATTGCGAGCATGGGATTTCATTTTAATCACTGCAGCAAAGACAGTGTGTAATATTTTGTGCAGGTGATCACTGAGGTTTTTTTGTAACCAGATGTGGGCAATGAATGTCAAAGTGAATGGTAAAGACATTTGGCATTGCTTTTTTCAAGTAAGCAACACACCCATGGTAGCGACCAGTCATTGATGGTGCTCTACTTTCCCTATGAGGAAAGGTTAAGGCGCTTAGGGCTCTTTAGCTTGGAGAAACGACGACTGAGGGGTGACATGATAGAGGTTTATAAGATTATGCATGGGAAAGAGCAGGTAGAGAAAGAGGTACTTTTCTCCCTTTCTCACAATAGAAGAACCCGTGGGCACTCCATGAAATTGCTGAGCGGTCGGGTTAGAACGGATAAAAGGAAGTACTTCTTCACCCAAAGAGTGATTAACACATGGAATTCACTGCCACAGGAAGTGGTGGCGGCTACAAGCATGGACGGCTTCAAAAGGGAATTAGATAAGCATATGGAGCAGAGGTCCATCAGTGGCTATTAGCCACAAGGTATAGATAGGGACTCTGGGGCAAGTGATGCTCTGTCATCTTGGTGCTTGGGTGGGGGGGGTCAACAGTGGGAGGGCTTCTAATGTCCTGGCCCCACTGGTGGACCTCCTGATGGCACTGGTATTTCTGGCCACTGTGGGATACAGAGTGTTGGACTGGATGGGCCTTTGGCCTGATCCAACATTGGCATCTCTTATGTTCTTATGTTCTTATTAATTACTAATATACTTGCTTGTATTTCTGGTCTTTGAAGAACTGATAAACAAAACAAAATATCTACTCCCCTTTAGTATCTATTCTTAGTCGCCTTGCAAATAACAACTCTTGAGCCAAGCTTTCATCTTTTATAAAGCCTACATAAGCGAGAAGCAAAGATTCATTGCCTGGCAAAGTTGACTGATCCAACTGTAACGCAAGTTCTGTTGACCTCAGCATGCTGCACAATGTATCTTCCACATTTTCAGCCATTTCTTAGCTCTCCATAGCGGTGGTGCTGCTCATCAGGCTTCTTGAGCTGCTGTAGATCTCCACAGGCTGCAGCTCTCTTGAAGCTCCTTCTCAGGTTACTCTGTTCTCTACCCTTGGTACCAGATGGCTTCTGTCTCTTTTTTTCTCCTCAGAATCCTCTCTCTTCCCTCAAGACTCTCCTAAGACTCGCCCTCGACAAAATACCTTCCCCCCCAAACTCTAACAGAGGGCCAAACACACAGAGTTACACTTACATAATCTAGAAAAATTAATATTAGATGGGCTGCAACAAATAACAATTCTATCGCTAAAAAGCTCACTGTGATCACAGGAAAATAAGTACCACACTCAATACTATTGTGTTAGGACTTACCAGCAAAAACTTGAAAAATGACAAAGAGATAAAACCCCACACGGTGATGACAGCTCCTCAAAAAGCGGTAGACTGGTCTGACTAGAGTTCTGGTGGCATGTTCAGTAAAATTTCTAATAGCTTCCACTAGATTTCATCACTATACAGAAGGAGAAACTTAGAGTGCCATTTGCCAGCATCTAGGCTCTAGCCTGGTCAGTTGTAAATAAGTGATCAATGCCGTCCAAGAGGCCCACGTCCAGTGCCCCCCTTGCCCCTTAGTGTACTCCTAGGCAATTGTATCATCCCCTAGAGTGCAGTACCACCCACTTTGGGAACCACTGAAGATTCCAAGTGATACTCAGCATGATTACAATGAGGTAGTAGTAATCCTTACCTGCTGCTTGAGTGCCTCCAGCGATTCAAATTCTAGCCTTCCTAGTTTTATCCGAATATCTTCCGGCTTGTCAGGGATTGCAAATGCCATAAGAAACTTTATTGCCAGGATTAAATGCTAAAAAGGAATAAATTATATTTAGTTGTGATTCATGTATCACACATACTTTTGTGTAAGTAGTTCTCACTTTTTACCTTTCAACCACAATTTATAACAGCAAGTATAAAATGAGCATTATTAGTCATTATGAGTATACTATTCTAGTTAGTCATGAAATAGAAAGCCCCAATAAGAAGTGAAAAACCCACAGCTGAGGAACCCTCTGTGCTATCAAACCATACACTCTACCTTGGTAGTTTCCTCAGGTGCTAGTATGTACAAAATAAATCAAGTGCCACAAAAACCTTTTGTTATCCCTCCCTCCTTAAATTCAGTGTACAAATACACATTATGTGTACTGTTATCCTTTGGTGTAGTGGTTAAGTGCATGGACTCTAGTCTGGGAGAACCGGGTTTGATTCCCTACTCTTCCACTGGCACCTGCTGAATGACCTTGGGCAAGCCATAGTTCTGTCAGAGCTGTTCTTGAAACAGCAGTTCTTGAAAGAGTTCTCTCAGCCCCCCACTACCTCACAAGGTGTCTGTTGTGGGGAGGGGAAGGGAAAGAAGTTTGTAAGCCGCTCTGAGACTCCGAATGAAGGGTGGGGTATAAATCCAATCGCTTTTTCTTCTTTCTCTCGACCTTTGTATTTTACACAATGCATCTGCTGGAGTCGCAATGTTAGGGTGAACGCTGGCACAAGAGGGGAGGGGGCTATTCAATCTTTTCCTTAAGCATTTTTCCAATGAAAATCTTCAACTCCAAACTTCTTTGATCCCCACTGGTAAAAATTAGGTATACTCGTAGGTTTTTCCAATGGGGGCAAAAACAGGTGGGGGTGCCACTTCATCAGGAAAACCCTGCAAGAAGAAGAGGCTCTAAAAATTACTCTGTGCTCCCTTTAAAACTACAGTCTCCAGAGCTACATGGTGTAAATAGGATTATGGAGCAATATGTGATGTTAAACTCTACTTTTAGGTTTCAGGTACTGAATCAAAAGTAGTCTACAACAGCACACAATGTTGTTCGTCTGTTAGAAGGTGATACAACCAGTTATTTGATAGGAAACACGCCTAAATAAAGGTATTTTCAAGCGTGTATTAAAGGCTAGAAAGGACAACTACAGAAGACATGGTGCATATATATGTAAATTATGGATTGTATTGTCATTTGTATTATACTAGAGGCTTGGAACCAAGGAATTAGATGGTTAGTTCAAATTAGCTTGTGAAATTTAGTCCCTTAATATTTCTTTCTGGCTTTGCTTTTAGGTTGTCAAATCACAATTGGCAGTAAGTCACACCCAGCAGAATTCCCTGCCACTGCCCAAATCTAATAAAACCTTTCCCTCTTTGGCTCCCTGGTTCACAATTCCCAGCTCTCCAAACCTTCCAGGCCTACCCACTATATTTCTGCCAGTAGTATATAGCTCCTGTCTCTAAACAATGCATAAGGTTTTGTCCCAATGTTATTTTTCCCCCTGCAGTTGCTGTTATTCATCTCCTCATTTCCATTATACTTTGTTTATTCCAGTTCCTGCTTATTAAACTACTGTCTTTCCTTTCCTTCTTTCTTTAGCCGGTTTGGTTGTCAACCTTTCTCCTTCTTTACAAGCGGCAAGTCTGTTCTTTTTGGCTGCGAAGAGACCTTTTCTGATTATAATTTTTTTGACAATTTTGCCTCCTCTGTACTTTTCCTCAAGTACTACTGTCTTCCTGCCCTTCATTCAGATTCCTTTTTTCAGTACTTTGCCTTCTTTGAATCTTCCTTAAGCCTCTCTGTTTTTGGTCCGCTGCCCCCCCCCCCATGTCCTTGGATCTCTTCCTGATAATCAATTTCCCCACATGTCAGGCTTTAGTCCTATCCAAACTGAGAACTTTTCCTTTCTTCACAGAAACTGGACTTTAAAACTGTACAGTCTTTTGAGAACTAATCATTCCATGCCATCAAATTCATCCATTCAATCAGCATCAGAGATTTCTCTGTCCCAAATACAATATATTTTTGAGAAAGTATTACCAGATATTTAAAATAATTTTCATCTTCAATAATTCACCCATTTAGTAAGACCTGCAAGTATGCATTTAAAGAGGTATACACAAGTGTCAACTAATTTATTTAAACATGTAGGTATTTTAAGTCCTTTCTAGTACTTCCAGAAACTTTGGGCTGATCTAGATTTAGTAATTCAGCTTTCATAAATCCAATCAAATAACTCATTTCTGATTTTCTGCTTCCATGGCAACATCCAATTGGCTAACAAGTCAATATGACTACAAAATAGCTGTTATCTAGTAATTCATCAGTGTTTAGGCACCATTTTGTCTGATCCCAAGAATACTGTGATGTTTTCGATCAGAATAAATACTGGAAATATGCTACAAAGATATACCAAGAGAATGGAATCTTAGGTCGTGGTCACACTGTCATTTTGATTGGGTTTCACAACTGTTCCCTATCACATTTAAAAGGGCTAACCAGACAGACTCACCCCCACAATCCTCCTGGTTTTCTAGAACATTTTCTGACACTGGGAAAATCAAGTACTTTCCTACTACTTGCACTGTGAATCCGCAATTTCTCCTATCTGGACAGCCATCTCTTACTATGAATGCGATTAGGTCATCTGTATGTCCTTCTTGCAGTAGTTCCCCCCCCCCCGGCTTTCACCGTTGTGCGCATGACCAATCCTGCGCTGAATATATTAAATGCACATAAAACAGCGCTCGGTTACACATCGGTAGTTCATTTTGTTCACTGTTCGGGGGGAACCACTGCATCCAAGTGGGAGCCGTGGTTTGTGCATATGCGCATATGCGCATGCGCATAGGGACAAAGATTTTTTTTAACTTGGGCGGCGCGGCTATCTGGACGGTGCCTGGAGCCTCGTCACGCAATGCAAGCCAGTGGGCAAGGGATATGTGATCATCTGAACCCGCTAAAAATATCCCTGATCAAATCTACAGCGGGAACAAATCGCAGTAAGCTTGCCATGTGACCACACCCTTATATTCCCCAATAAGTGCCTAGTTAACGTCACATAGGAGGTTCTGTAAACATTGATCTTAATTTTGAGACTGTGATTGTGTTGTCACTTCTTCAATGACCAACTCCTTAATGTGCAGTTTTTAATATTTCCCCCTTAAAGGTAGTTTACAGGTGGGCAGCAATGTTGGTCTGCAGTAGAAGAACAAGATATGACTTCAGTAGCACCTTGAAGACCAACAACATTTTCAAGGTATAAGCTTTCAAGTTCCCTTCATCAGATACTACATTCCTTCCCCAAGATTTTGGCAGACAATTTTATTCTTGGCAAAATGAACTTGTTTTGCATATAACCCAGTTTAGTGGTGGCTAAAACCAATGCAAATAAGGCATTCAAAACATTCCTGCAATCATATACTGTAGAAATCGAATTAGCTGTTCAAAATCCCAAGAATTCATCTCTAATTAGCATTTTTTAAGGAGAGACAAGGTTGAGGGACACATTGATACAAAAACACAGCTGCTCCTGTTGCTCATGGCTATATTCTTTGCAGAACAGGCCAGTTCCACTAGCTCTCAAAGCACTTGGCAGAAGTCCACAAAGAGCTTGATAGCACTGCAATTATCAAGGGTGAGAGAGACACTGACATTTCGCTCCCTAGCCACTTGGCAGATGGCAAAATAGGAGGATATTTTACTGTTGACATGAGGGAGTTGTGTTAATTCCATCCTGTTTTCTTCATACCAAGACATACACCCTGTAATCATCATGTAGAATGTGCTCTTGAAAAGCAGCATATCTTTAATTCTTGCAGTTTAGAATAATGCTGCTGTTCTGCAAGAGTTTTAGAATATGACACAACATAGATATATGCTATTAAAATGAAGGTTGCTACAGTGCTGCATAGTAAAAGAATAACCAAACCATAGGAAATGTTCTTGTCATAGGCAGCAGATTCCCAGCTCTTACTAATTTAATTTCAAAGCCGCATGGGACTAATTCCTGTTCTAATCCAGATTACCAATTTTGTTCGGGGCAAGCAGAATAAAAAGAGAAAGGCCCTTCTCAAACCTTCAGAACTGTGACAGGGCTATTTACATGATTTATTGGACAGCTTTATTGTGGTATTTACTAGGCTCGACGAACAGCAGCAGCTAAGCATTCTAAAGCACTGTAAGTAGGATCATTACCATAATTTCTGGCAGGTAATCTGGACTGCCGCAGCTCAACTATGGCATAGATCCTAAGAAGAATCCTGTATGAGAATACTGTAGGGGAGGAATCAATTTCTGCCAGTCCCTACTCCTTGTACTGTTGGATACAATGTTCCAGAATGCCTTCCAACCCTCAGAAGTAGCTTTAGGAGAGGCATAAGAAGTTTTAGCTGTATAGAGAAATCCATACTACTTGAACAAACCCAGCGCACAATTTTTGGATCCAAACCTATGATGACTTGTATAGTTGTGATCAGGGGTCATTTCGTAGAAAAAGAGGTGCAGGAGCTCATTAGCATAACTCATTAGTGTAACTTATTTGCATATGCCACACCCCCTTACATCACTGGAAGTGTGTCAGAAGGCAACACCCACCGCTTAGGCGCCACTGGACTGTTTTGGATTGCTAGCTATTGGAGGGGGGGACGTGCACATCTGTCCTCGCAGAGGAGGGAGAGCTTGTACCTGAATAAAACTTGGTCTTAAAGGTGCCACTGGACTGTTTTGGACCGGGGGGGGCGGGGGGAGCTCTGCAACTTTCCTGGCTGCTTCTTGCTGTGACTGAGGGCTGCTGGGAGCAGGGGGTGGGGCTTGTTGCATGTGCCCGCCCCCTGAGCTCTTTACTACCGGAGCTCCGCTCCTGTGCGCTCCTGCAGGAAATGACCCCTGGTTGTGATTCAGTCAAAAAATTGTAGGACTAGCTATATTCAGGGCTTATATATAACCTGTAATTGGTACAGGCCACATGTGAGCATCCTGAAAACCTCTGTTTTCATTTTTTAAAAGCCTGGGGGTGGAATCAGAAACTTCAATTGGT